TTCATTAAGTTACATGTTAGACATATAAAAGTAAATTTAATAAAACATAAATGTAATTTACATATATTATAGAAGTAACTTAAAACAAAAAGAAAATAACTTGTCATGACATTAGAAGTAAATCCGTTGTGGGGTAACTATGATACGTTGATTAAATCTAATTTCTAGATAGACTTATGTTTTTACCCCCACAATAGATTTCTTTTGATGCCGTAATAAGTTACTTTACTTTTGTTTTAAGTTACTTCTATATAATATATGTAAATTACTTTCAGGCTTTATTAATTTTACTTTTCTAATTAAGAAGTAGTTTAATGAAATATAAAAGTAATTTAGATATATTATAAAAGTAATTTGTTTTTTTCATAAAAAATTAATCATGTGATATCTTGTTATAAAGATTTAATTGTTACGAACACAATAGTGTAATCGGATCATAAATCGGATGAGTAATTTAAGAGAAAATTTCATAAGAAAAAAAATATATGTACTTTTGGATATACTAGTAGATAGATATGAGATTGAGGTAGTTGGTTACGACAAGATAGAGAACTGTCTCGTTGTAGACCTGAACAATGGAGTACCTGGACAGCGGCAGGCCTGGTTGCACCCATCGGTAGTACGTGAAACACCACTGATGTTATAGCTTTGGTGGGATGGTGTTTAGCCGGAGTTGTGGCTTAGAGTGCCCGTTTATGCTATAAAGTAGTGTACATCGTTGGAACAATAGCGGTTGTACAGCTCTTAGCCTCCATGGCAGCTGTATTTGTTGTACTAGTTTGAACCTCTCCCCAATCTTAATAAACTTCGGCCGCGTATCTTACGCCGGCCCGGCAAAAAAATATCTGCTCATGAAAAAATCCGCCGAATAATCACAACAATGAGATCATCCCATATAAATCACTCTTGACGAGTAATCACATATCTTTTTGCGTGTTGTGGTGGGGATTCATCTGATTTTGCGTGGTGCTGTGATTTTTCATATTAGTTGAATAATCACAACAACATGCAAAAATCAATGTCTCCGGAGCTTGTTGCTCTCCTGATGATGCCAAAATTTATAGAATGAAAACTTGTTCGGATGATGACTCCAGGGAGCTCTTATACACAAGGATATTTACTCGTGGGAACAAATGTCTTCATGAATTGAAACAAGCAGGTGCGGAGCTAGTGTATATTAGAGGGTGCCCAGAAACCGGTCAAAAAAATATTTTAGCTATACCTTATCTATTTTCACCATGTATACACCCCTCAATACAAACTTATGCACCCGCGTCAGCTTAAACTCAATCTAAAGTAAAATAAATTAAGTAAGTGGCACCACCTCCATTTCGCTCTAGTTCCACCCCTGGAAACAAGTATCTATAGACCTCCTAAAGAAATGTGATGGGTACCATTAGCAATCATCACTATAGCTAATCTCTTGGTTGGTTATAACAATAGGCACATATAAAAACTGGAGATCAATGTTACATTTTGCTCAAATCTATTGGCTGAGGACTCACAAAAGGTAGAAATTTGGATGCTCACCCTTTGCAGAGCCTCATTCAAGTGAGGGCGCAGGACAAGTACCATATATCAACATCACAGTAAACATCTCCAAGGAGAACAATGAAGAAGAACCAGATTCATGAATTTCTTCCGAAGACATATGTGCATGCGCAATCAGGTGGAAAGTGGCAGAGCCTCCAAGAAGGAGGCTTTTTACAGTCCAGTGGAGGAGGTACCATATCCTAGCCATCCATTCCACTCAATCTAATGGCCTGGGAAGGCTTGGTACCTAGCAGTACCGCATCTCCTGCAAGAGCAGGTACCAAATGTTGTTGATGGTGGGACGGTAATTTTGTACTTTCGCATGCAGGTACCAAATTGGAGCGGAACACCATCTGTCCGATGCAGGCGTCTACTCATCGACTCCTCAAATCGAACGGAAACAAGTGAAGTCAAGGATGCGGAGCGAAGGGGAAGAGGACGGAGAAGAGACGATGTCAAGTGTAGGAGCAGGATTGGGATCCTCTGACGTGAAGTCATAGGAACATGGTGACTGACATGTGGACCCCACCATTCTCGAGCCCACCTATCAATCACCACGTCACGTGGCAGTTCACATCAGAGGAACTCTCCTGTAGGAGCGGAGGGGTACCACACGAGCTATTCCAATCGTATCCTTTGTGAATGGACGGTTGGATAGAGTTGGTACTGTAAAAATCCTCTTGTAATAAACTTCCTCTTACTGTGTTCTACGTGATTACTCACTTTTTTATGAGTTTTGCAGTTTAACTGCAGAGTTGTAATTCTATTTCAATTCTCTCTCTCTCTCTCTCTCTCTGTCTATCTTGCTCTTTGTCTATGTCATCCATTCTCATGCCTAAATTTCAAGTAAAGCTGAGTTCAAATCTTTAAAATGATCTGCTCTTATGTCCTGATGTATTCAAGAACACTTGCATAACTGCATGTATAGTTATCAGAAGCATGGTCAAACTTAACCAGTGGATGTGTCATATTGACGTTAACAGGTACTCAATTCTCTTCTCTATTTTGACGATTTTTTTAATAAAGTAAGTGCTCGAGATTTATTTTGATATTTAGTTTTCTTGTTTAAGTAACATATATTCTCATCATTACAGGTTCATGTGTCCATGTGTAATATCTGCCATAGAAGTCATACTGTGTCATAATGTGTAGTACTCCACGGAGTTAAAAATTTTGAATTTGAATTTATACTTTTTAAATTTTGAGATAAAAGTTTCCAAATCTGAGTTGAAAATTTTCAAATATGAGTTGGAAATTTTCAAATCTGAGTTAAAATTTTTAAATTTGAGTTGAAAACTTTTAAATGTAAATTGAAAGTTTTAAATATTGACTTGAAAGTTTTTAAATCTAAGTTTTTTTAATCTTGAATTGAAAGTTTTTTAATCTTGTATTGAAAGTTTTTAAACTTGAATTGGAAGTTTTTAAATCTGGGTTGAAATTTTTCAAGGAGGGAAGAGGAAGGAGATTGGATAAGATGTAGGCTACTTCCCTTACCAACGCTTATGTGCTAAATAGGAACTGCATGATTGCTGCTCATTCATTAAATAACCGCGTTCGCGAAAAAAATCATTAAATAACCAATTGAAAGGAGCATGCCTGCGGCTGCGAGAGTAGTGATCGATTTGACCTTAAGGAGGACAGCCATGAACCCAAATAAAGAACACAATCGTGCGTGGTGCTCCTCTGCATGCTTCCAACTAGGTTTGTGTTTGTGTACCTTCTTGTCTTTCCTTCCTACTCTCAATTAATTAGTTTATATAAAGGAGTGGCCATAAATTGTTTGTGTATTTGTAGGCGAATGGGATTGAATCTCGATTAGGTCATGTTCATTTAATCCTCACAAGTAATTGGAGAAGATTTAGGGGAATTAATTCTACACCATAATAGATGTGGAATTAATCATTTTCAATTTCCCAATTCACTGGTGAGGGATTAAATGAACAAAGGTTTTGTGATTCATGTATCAAAATCTAGTAAGTCAACTCCATAATTGGACTAGTTTACTATTCTATCAGACTAAACCACGTTATAATGTTTGTGCTTTCTTTCAAAATACTAAAGATTGAAATACATGGCCGGTCCTTAAACTTGTGGGGAGGTGTCACTTAAATCCGTGAACTTGAAAATTGCATGTTTAGATCCGTGAACTTGGTTTAATGTACCACTCCCGGTCCAACCGTCCTTTGACCACGTTTGACCGCCAAAGTGACATACCACGTAGGTAACACTTTTGTGATCAGCGCCCTCCACGTATACCTTCGCACATAACTTGCCCCGACCAGTGCATTTCAACCCAAATCCCCCAAAATATCCCTAAATCGGCTAGAGTTTCGACGGTGAGGTTAGCGGAAGGAGGCTAAGAGGTAGTGGCTGTGGCGTCCTCGGCGGTGAGATTAGCACCAGGAGGCAACGCAATGCAGCGGGGTTAGCGGTGGCATAGTGTGACCGGATTAGTGGTGTGAGGTAGCGTAATGCGTCTTGCACGGTAGGCATCCCCATAGATTCTCCAAGCTCGTCCTCGTCTTGAAGTCATCGGAAAAAGGTAATGTTGATCAAGTGCCCGTTGTGCAAGGATAAGGTCATTTTGGAGCAAAGAGCAATGGCAATTGCTAATCGGAACCGTATTTTCTATACATGCCAGGAGAAGAATGAGAGGAAAGAATGATTTGAGGATTTTTTTTTTGGGGGGATTCTGGTGTCACTGTATAGCTACAAGGAGATATATGCGATGTGTTGTGATGTGGAGGAGGTTGAGAGCAAAAGTGTTGCTTACGTGGCATGCCATGTTGGCAGTCGAACGCAGTCAAAGGACGTTTGGACCGAGGTGGTACATTAAACCAAGTTCACGGATCTAAACGTGCAATTTTTAAATTCACGGACCTAAGTAACATCACCACACAAGTTTAGAGACCGGCCATGTATTTCACTCAATACTAAATAAGTAAATTGGTTGTTGTGGGGGATTTTGTGGTAAATAATCAGTTTAGTCCGTTGTTCTCACAGTTTAAATGCAGCTTGGGTGGATATTTCAATGCTGAGCATCAGGAGACAACATGATATATATCAATAGCAATAGCACAGCTAGTGAACATATCGGAGGAGGAGAATGAAAAATAACCAGTTGATCATCCACTCAGATACATAGGATATATTTAGAGATGGCAATGGACCTCGTTCACCGTTTCCCCATGGTGAATTCACCAATTAGGAGGCGAGGATGGTTAGAATTAGTTTTTCATAGGAACATAAATGGGAGGAGACATGTCCCCGTTGGTTTTCGTGGGGCGAGGATGGTTCTTCATTCCCCATCCCTGTTCCCGTGGAGACCCGCGTAGGAGTCCAAGTTTAATGTATTTTAGTTATCTTGTGCGATTATATTATTTATAGCCATTAATAAATGATAACTTTGTGTTTTTATCATGTGAATTAGTACATAATATTACTAGATGTATGCTAATATATTCATATAAAGTACGAATATATATTGTATTGCATATATAATTTGACATGTGTATATTGTTTTAAGCAGGGGTGAAATCACCGCGGGGATAGGGATGGTAACAAAGCTTTCCCGTTGTGTTTCGCGGTGACGGGGACGGGGAAGTTTTGTCTTGCGGGGGCGGGGATGGAGATGCATTTCCGACGATGAATTCTCCGTTGTCATCTCTAGATATATTCCACATGTTTAATTGGGCAAATTAACAGTTTTATTAACTCAATATTCCACCATCAAGGATATTAAGAAAGACAACGTACGTAGGTACTCTAGAGATTACAGAACATATATACACTCATGAATGATGGATGTAATACTCCCTCTATTTTAAAATATAACAATATAAAATTAGATAGTACGTCACCTAGTGCTACACGTATCTAGACAGTCTCATCTAGTGTTTAGATACGTAATGTTTGATGTCTCATCTAGTGTTTAGATACGTAATGTTTGATATATTAATTCTCAGATGGATGAAGTATTTGGATAAACCTCCATAAAATGGCTTTATTAACACAAGGAATTAATTAAGGCGGTCATCCTCTGCAGCAGTCATAGCAATCAGGTGCGAATAGGCACCAACTGCACGGGCATTGTGCATTAGCTGAAAATTAATTAAAAACCAAAAAGATAAGACTATTATTATTACTACTCCCTGTGGGCAGCAATATACTCTGCATTAGCAGATATATATTCTCAATATACTCTCTTTGTATTTAAATAGATGACGCTATTAACTTTTGAATAAATATTTAACTATACGTCTTATTAAAACTTTTATGTAAATATATAAAATATAAATTATGTTTAAAGTACTTTTAGTGAGAAAACAACTCACAATAAAAATAAATGGTAATTACATAAATAAGACATGAAAAGCACGATCATAAATAAATGTGTTATTTATTAAAAAACAAAGGTATAGTTGTCGATCAATAATTGTTGCTCGATCATAATATGATAATAAGTTCGAATAAGATCGAATCCATAAAATATCCAATAATGAAATGAGAAGAACCATGCGAGAGAGTAGCGATCGATTGAACCTCTTGGAAGGAGAGAAGCCATGAACATCACCATGGTCATGGCCCAAATGAGCAAGGCAAAGCGCGGTGTTCCTCCGCATGCTTAGCTTCCCTTTTCCAACTCACTCGCTCTCTCTCCTTACCAACTGTTACGCAATTGAAGCTAAGATTGTGTTTATTTGTGTACCTCTGAACTCTGATGACCTTGTTGCATGCGTGTTTCCTTCCTAGTCGATCTCAATTGGTTTATATATATAGATCAAGGAGATGCACGTAATTGTTGTTATTGCGAATGGGAGTGATTAATCTGGCCCAATGCATGAAAGCCTTTCATGCGCACATAGGTTTGATCGATCGGCCGGGATATATATTTATGTATCACAACTCACAAAAAATGATTATATCAGATGGGAGAGCACCTTGGACAAATACTAGGTATATATGTACAGAGTCCTGTTGGGTGCGTGCGACATATATATTATACTTTTCCGATCATTCCGCATGCATGTAATTTGGACAAAGCACACAGTTTTTTAAGGTAATTTCACCATCAGGGAAGAAAGACAACTCTGATATTACAAACACACGATGAATGATGGATGTATTTGGGTAAACCGGCCGGCCTCCATGAATAATCTTGGGAACCAATTTACTTATTAACACAAAAAGGGAAATTAACACTAATACACTACCACTAGCAGCAGTCGCATGTGGTGGTTGGGCAGACACCGCACCAGCATGGTACTGAAAACCAAAACGGTGAAACTAGGCAGCATTAATTAATGGCATGCATTAATACCCAATGTAAAAATGTAAAGGAGCATGCGAGAGTAGTGATTAATTAACCTTGTGAAAGGACGGCAGTCATCAAGATTCCAAAGGCCATGGCCCAAATGAAGAACGCAAGCGTGGTCTTCCTGATCCGCATGCTTCTCTCTACGAAATGTTTCAAGCTAGGCTTGTGTTTGTGTACCTCCGACCTTAGCTTGTTGCGTTTCCTTCCTACTCTCACTTGGTTTATATATAGAGAGAGAGGAGTGGCCCATAAGAGCAGGTACGATAGTAGACTATTAGTCAACTACAAATATATTTTAATAAGATAAAAGATGAGAGAGTAGAGCAGCGGGCTATAGATTTGTAGCCAGCTGCAGCACGGACTCCAAGACGTAATGTGTGTATGATAGGTGGGACCATATACTAATAGTATAGTAAGCAATTATTGTATGAATTAGTTATTAGACTGGCTATAGATGAATTGGAGCTAATAGTGGGCTATACTATTAAACTTGCTATAAGCTAGCTGTTTTTGTAATCGCAATTATTGCGAATAGGAGTGAGTGAATACTAATTATTGGGATTCATGTATCTCAGAACCCACAAAGTCAACTTCAGAATTGAATTAGTTTACTATTTCTATTAGACAAACCACGTTAAAATGTCTGTGCTTTCACAGCCAGATGGGTTTGAGTTCGACTCTGATTAATCAATTAGTATCATTTATTTTTTGGGATTGGCTATACATCTGCCTGCTATTTTTTTTTGGCAAAATTTGCTACAGGTCATCCAAAAATCGTGTGATTAACCGGTGGGCACCGTAATATCGCGAATTTGTTGGCGGGCACCACAAAAAAGTGGAAATTAGCTGGTAGACACTCCGGCCATTATTTTATTATTTTCGGAGTAAAGCACGTGAGAAAATTTTCTAAATGCCGAGAATGCCCTCGGTGGCCAACGCGTTATCCCCGACTGGGTCCGGTCGAACCAGACCCAGTCGGTCTCGTTGCCGCACCACATCCATCCTAACCCTAGCTGCGACGGAGGAGGCGGCGCGATGGCGACCCAGCTGCGGCGAGGGGCGGCGGCGACCCAGCTGCGGCGAGCGCGGCGGCGACCCAGACCAGCGCGCGTCTTCGGTGAAGGCGGCGACAAGCAAATAAAACAAATGCAAACGACAACTTCAACCATAGACTCACATGGCAAACTCATTCCATGCATGCTGGACCCAGAAAATTAGATGAATCGTAAAGCTTACCCTTCGGGGACCCATGACACATCTGTGAGCAATGGGGATCCGGTGGTCCTCACCGGCTTCTTCGCCGCCAACTTCTTCCGGGGCGACATCACAGACACCGTGCCGGGCTCACGGCTTCATCCGACGCTTGGTCTGGGTCGCGCGCCGGTCTAGGTCGCCGCCGCCCTCGCTGCAGCTGAGTCGCCGCCGCCCCTCGCCGTAGCTGGGTCGCCGCCGCGCCGCCTCCTCAGTCGCAGCTAGGGTTATGATGGATGTGGTGCAGCAACGAGACCGACTGGGTCTGGTTCGACCGGACCTAGTCGAGGATAATGCAGTGGCCACCGAGGGCATTCTCGGCATTTAGAAAATTTTCTCACGTGCTTTACTTTGAAAATAATAAAATAATGGCCAGAGTGTCTACCAGCTAATTAACACTTTTTTGTGGTGCCCACCAATAAATTCGCGATCTTACGATGCCCACCGGCTAATTACACGATTTTTTGATGCCCTATAGCAAATTTTGCCTTTTTTTAGTTTACCATTAGATTTTCATCAAGATTCGTGCGTCCTCACCTGCTTTGGACAACGACATCCTGTGTGTGTCCGTGTTTTGTCTAGGTGGTGTTTGGATTCAGGGACTTAACTTTTAGTCTCTGTATTTAGACACTAATTTAGAGTATTAAATATAGACTACTTATAAAACTAATTACATAAATAAAAGCTAATTTGCGAGATAAATTTTTTAAGCCTAATTAATGCATAATTAGAGAATATTTAATGTAGCATCACATAGGCTAATCATGAATTAATTAGGCTCAATAGATTCGTCTCGTGAATTAGTCTAAGATTATGGATGGGTTTTATTAACCGTCTACGTTTAATATTTATAATTAGTGTCCAAACATCCGATGTGATAGGGGTTTTAGTGCCATCTAAACTGGGTCAGCCACCCAACAATGTATCAAAAATAAAAAAAATCCCCATCAGCCATGGGGCTTCTGTCGCCGATGGGCAAGCCTACCAGAAGTGTTCTGTTGGATCTCGCCGCTGGAGCTCTGATACCTGAACCAGCAATCAGCATCAAGGGCACATTCATCCCCAAGGTGAGCTAGTGAATTGAACTTTCTTCGCATTGCAAAGCTTATATGATTTGTGTTGAATGTTTTTTTTTACTTTTATTATTATTTTTTATTTGGTGATCACCTTGATGCCACTAAGTTCATATGGCACGTCTCATTGCTCAAGTGTCAATGCTGCCTCTTTTTTTTTTTACGTCATTTCCTCCTGCAAGTTAGATTTCTCTGTGTTGGTGGGATGATTCGTACTAACTAGGACGGTACTGTCTTGGACTTTTGTACATCTCTTGTGATACAAGTTCAAATTTGTGTTCTTTTATCCTGGAAATGAAGATGAAGATAAAAATGAAGATTAAATTTTTTACGTAAAACAAGGTGGCATTAACGTATGATTGATTGAGTTTTAATTATTATAAACTTGAAAAATAGATTAATATGATATTTTAGAGCAACTTTCATATAGAAAGTTTTCACACGAAACACACCGTTTAGCAGTTTAAAAAACATGCCACGAAAATCTTAATTTTCATCCAACTATTTGAAGAAAAAAAAGGACCGCAAAGACAGTGCTTCATGTTCGACATCATCAGAACCGAAGGTTATTGAGCTGAAGCCTATATTAGTACTGGTATTTGGAAGCACTAAGAATATACTTCTATAGAGACTTAGGGTCTATAAGTGGATTTACCGGTCGATTCAGTTGCATTTCAAGGTACGGCAAAAGCCAAGTCATGGAACGGGAACTCACGGGTTATCCGCTTATTTTATCCTATCTTACTGTAAAGTTGATGTCTACTAATTTTTAAAACTCAATATGCAATCACACACCAGCAATTATTATCTAGAGTATTTTAAATATCACGCAAACATGACATGTCATTTAAAATTTTATTGTATTTTTAAAACTTAATATGCAAACAATATCAAATCATTATATGCACATATCATCCTGCAGTAAAGCGCGGGATAGTTTAGTTTATAAGTGAGTTCACGGGTTACCCGCAGTGATATGAAATGGGCTTTGGCTTCTTAATTAGCTAAGGCCCGTAAAGCACGGCCCAATAGCTGAAGGCCTGGTAAACTACTCCGCCGCCAAGAGGCCCTAGCAAGGCAGCATTTCCACCTCGCCGCCGCCGTCATTGCCGCCGCGGCGCGGGCGTTTGCTCCGCGACGAGGACTCGATGAGGGGAAATGTCTCCAGCGTCATCTCCGGCGGCGACGAGGTGAGCATACAAGATACGCTCCTATCCCACGATCTCCCTTCCCTTCTGGTTGCATTTGCATCTACTGTCATGTTATTGCTGTACATAAGAGCTTGGTGTTTCGATTAACGAAATTGTATCTTTGTAATGGCAATTGTAGCTAGTTGCAAATGTTGCGGAGAGCTTGTGGATCCAAAGACCCAGTGCCTCGATTTCTTCTTTTTTTCTTTTGAGTTGCTGTGCACAAGCGCATTTCTTTCTTCTCCAGTATTTCAACAGCTAAGCAATGGTAGGGTGTGATGTCTGTGAGGATATTTGCATACTTACCAACTTACTTACTATACTATATAACAAATGGAATGAAGTGGGCAACCTTGGGTTCATCTGTTATTTGGTTGTGGAACCGGTCACAATTTTATATCGATATGATTGCAACTACATAGTCTTATAATCCTAACTAATCTATCTCAAGTTAGGCCGTTTGGTCATGTTTTCTAGAAATGCAATCTGCAATACTAGTGGCGCTTACGTTTTAGATATGATTATTATTAGTTAGGTACATAAAATCTACAGTTTGATGTCATCATTGGACCATTTTATGCAAGTTAATTATGTTCACTTATGCATATATACTGGATAAGTTGAAGGAATGAAATTTCTGTATATTAAAGTTTCTACTTACAGGTTACTTTTAACAATAAATTGAGAGAGCCTAGTCTGATTATAAGCTTCACGTTCCCCATTATGTACCAACTTCTTTGTAACTTGTCATTAGAGAACTTTCTTTGGGACATTGAGCTATCACCATCACAATGTTAGGTGACAGAATAAGATCTTTGGCTTAATATTGAAAGGCTATGTTAAGATTCAATGACTAGATTTCTGGTGTACTGCGCTTGGTTATCCCCCGACCCCTCCTAATACTGTCTGCTGGCAATGGGTTGCACTGAAGCCTTTTTCTTTCTGAAGTGTCAAAACTGTCATATTGTGGCAGAACTGATGCTCTCTAGCCTCCCAGTTCTTTTTACAAGTTGTATCTTGTCATCTCTGTAATAGTACCATGTTAAGGAACCCTGTAATTTTTTTTCTTCCTGTCATAATATATAAAACGGCAGAACTCCCGCCTTCTCTCAAAAATTATGTTGTAGTTGTTCAGTACGCTTCCCTGTGTATGGCTGATCTTATCCATGGATCTTGCCCATGCATCATGGAGCATGTATGTTTTATCTGATGCTGGATCATTTTCATTTATATAGTATTTGTCATATACCAATTGCTAGTTATTTATTTATTAATTAGGATTTAGGAGTTAGCAACCACATCTGAAAATGGCATATTAATATTTGAAAGTACTCGATGTGTAGTATCTGCCGTGGTCTGTGGAAGTCATACTGGGTAATAGTTTGGAGTGAAGTGTTTTATGTCCTGTTACACATGTCTTTTTAATCCAAACAAATGGACAGAACTTTGATCTGTTGGCACTTACTGCCTTGCAGGCTTTCCAAGTGATCAACGATCCTGCTAGTGTGAGTTCTCCCTATGTATTACTCTATATTGGCATTTATCCTTTTAAGTGCCATCTCCTTCAGACTTCAGTGAGCAAGTAGCATTTTGGTCTTCCTAGCAAGTAGCAACATATCATCACAAAATCAGATCTTATGATCTTGTGGTGTTTTTAATTTCTTCTCCTAATTTGTTTAGGAGTCATAAATGCACCAAAGAGAGGATGTTTGTTTCTTTATTTATGACGGAAGTGACTGAATTAACGGAATAAAACACCATTGTAATAGTCTGGCACTCTGCTGCTGCTAGTACTGCATTTGTGTTACTTAAACTGGTGTCTTCACTTGTGAAGTTGTCTTCTTTTCTTATGCATTTTCTCTGTACAAAGCATTATAGGGATGCATGTAGCTCCAACATATGTTGCCTTTTCTTCTCTAAGTTGTTTTCTTTAATATAGAACAAGAGAAAGAAAAGAAACTTTACAATTCATATCCACATCAAACCTTTTCACCACTTTGAATCTATGGATAAACAGATAGTGCGATGATTGGGCTTAGGTGGTCCAAGCACTATCCTAGAATTCAATTAGAATAAACATATGATTAATTAGTTGCAGGATCAGTTTCAACAAAGTATCTAACACAGAGCTCCAGGTACAGCCCACTTATCACCACCTTTTCTTTACCATATCACATCATTAATTTTTTTTGTTTATTCTGCAACTTATTTCTAATCTTGACTGTTGTCAATACGTTATGACTTTGTTATTAAAAGATGAAATGATAGGCCACTGAGGCAGTGTCTCTGCTTTAATCCTGTCGGTCCCATTAAGAAATATAGGGTTGCTTGTTCTTCTTGTTGTTGTTTCTGACCTGTATCAGAACTTACGTTGTAGACTAAGTTCATGCATGTACCAACATCTCTATTGGACGAAAGAACCTAAGAACATAGGTTGTTACTGTTCTCTTTAGTCCGTGTCTCACTAACATTTCTGTTGGACATGAACCTGAGAGTGCATATTGTTATTAGTACTCTTTAGCTTTCATATAGCATGTATTTGCATTTGCTCCACTAAAATTGCTTCTAATTTAGGCAATCCATCTCAATCTGTTTGTTTAGTGGGGAAATATGTGCAAACTGTAGAATTTGAGGGATGAAATGAGAATATAATAAACAAAGCTATGAAGAATTTAAGACATATGATTCTAATGCTTTGTTATCTATGAAATCAAGCTTAATTTTGAGTCATCAACTCATTTCCTTTTTCATTTTGGTTCTTCCATATTATCAGGTCAGAGCTTTGATTCTCTTTTTTATCTTCGGAGTAGGTGCGTCTTTTAGTTATACATACTTTTCAAGTTTCCGTGATACATATCCAGGAAGAGATTATGATCCATGTAAAGATGTGTACTAATAGTTTTACAAACATATCTAAATTGTTGTGCTACTCTTCTCATTTGATCACCAAATCACCAATGACTTCTCATCAGTTTACATACATTAAACAATTTACTATACCTTCCTGTATATCCAATTGAGTGAGCACAATTTCTAACTTTAGAAAGTATATCAGTTTAAGATATGAATTTTTAACCTTATAATCTGTTACTTGATCAATAAACTATACCATTCATACAAAGTGGTATTGTGTTCCATACTGTCAAAGGTAAGTCACACAAGCTATGTTGCACATTAGATTCTACATACATACATACATAATACATACATCATGAGCACACCAATAATGTTATAGTAGATCTGTAAATATTGAGACCCATAGTAACACAAATATAACCACATAAGTACTGCAAATCTGGAAAGCACATATGTAGCTTAGAAACCTGGCCTATATCTTGATGTATGGCTTTATCCTTCAATAGCATGGCCCTCATTTTCCATAACCAGATTGTGTAGCCAACATCCTTGTTTCTTCATTGTCAATCTTCCAGAATACCTCAGGGCAGCTGTAGTCTGACATGGTAGATGTCAGAAGTGGACATGGGAGATTGCTGCATGCTTTGTCTTTCCCTTCATCTATACCCAGCAAGGAAGGTGCCCCTGGCGCCTCAATTTCTTTCCATATCTGATCCATGGTATATCCATCCATGACACTCTGAGTGCTTTTGAGGACTCTTGCCATGCAGCTGCGATCATCATGAATGTCTCCTCCATCCATACTGATGATTGGCACAGTATCTAGGAGGCAGGATTGGTATACCAGTGACGACGAGGAGGACGAGGGTGACATGTCACCCCTTCTCTCCTGGGCTTTCTTCCTCATGTGTGTCCTCCAGTAGTTCTTGATCTCATTGTCTGTGCGCCCTGGCAGCCTCCGTGCTATCCTAGACCACCTGTGTATACAGTGAATATCTGTTACATTGAACTGCAAAAGCTTAGAGAAGTTTCTTGTACAGAGTATCTTTTTTATCATACCTGTTACCCCAACGAGCATGGAGCTCAATAATAAGATGTTCCTCTTTTGGTGACATGCGCCCATGCTTGAGGCCAGGGTGGAGGTAGTTCACCCAACGGAGGCGGCAGCTCTTGCCTGTCCTATTGAGCCCTTCATGGACATAGTGAGGATGAAGTATGAAGATATTGGATTAGAGACCAAGACATTTCTGCTTGCGACTTTGCGCCAAGGATTGCAAAATAGCTACCTAATTTGCAGGTCCCCACCCCTCAAACCTGATACTTTGGCAACGAAATCCCAACGGCGGTCACCGAACAGGCGGACAGTGCATACCAGTTGCAGGTCCTCCTGCTCTGTCCATGGTCCCTTGCGCATCTCCTCTCTCACTGTCACCATATTGGGGCTTGGGATGTTGCAATGCTAACGTTGTTCACTTCTACCTTGGATAGGATGGGAGCCACTCTCCGTGTTCTTCTTCCTCTTTGAGTTTGTTGGCTCCAGCTTCACGTTTAGAGCCTTGATCAACTCCAGACCAACTGGAAGGTTGCTATTAGGGAGAGAGGAAGCCACTTTGTCTTGGCTGTGGTACTGCTTGGCTAGCTTTTGCTCTATTTATAGGCAGGAGAGGAAGCTGATCTTGCGGGGTCGCATGACGTGTTGGGGGTGATTTTAGAGAAACCTTGAGAACTTAGACTTTATCATTCAGATGTTGAGGCTATCTCAGATTCTTCAGTAATAAAATTGCTTTACATGTTATTAGATATTAAAAAAAACTAAAGCTATCAGTTGATCTTGCTACATGTCTCAAAAACACAAGTCATCGTGGCTAATTTTAGCTACCTTTATAAGCCATCATCACACTTACTGTTAGCACTTCTCATAAAATAGCAAACCTGAAGTCTGAACTTGATTACTAGTGGTTATTGTGTTTTTCTACAGAATTTTAGGAAACCCACTGCCTTGTTCTTTATCAATGGAGCACATTTTCGCAAGAGACATTCATTTCACAGGCATGTAGCACATCAAAGTCTTTCTCTGGATACTTCTGTATTTTATTTCTTCTGGATTAGAAAAGCATTTGCCTTTCTGTCAGCCATTTTTCTAAGCTCACAAAATGTCTCTTATGAACACGCCTTCAATGCAAATGCACACTGTGCCACTTATCTTACCTTGTAAAAAGGAGTCCTCCCAATGCTGCTACTACATGAGCAACGGATGAGGAGGCTTTCGTGGACCTGTATTGACTTGTGACTGATGTCTGTGGTACTGATTATACTACTGATAAGATGCCTGCAAGTTCTAAAGAGGAACCATGAAAGCGCTATGGCAGGTACTATATTGAGGTAGCTACCTGCTTCCATAACGGTGCGCTGTTTAAAATAATGTACATCTGTCTTGGAGTTTTATTTTTTATATACATTTCTCTATCTGAAATAGCCCTAAATATGTTGCATCGAAGTTTTTTTGTGTTCAATACAATAATTGATCTTATGGTACAAACCATATACGTGTTAACTGTTACTTATTTGTTGACTTCTGTATGTGATTTTTTACTGCATGCAGAAAAAAAGTTCTGTGACTGCAGGTATCTAAACAGTAGGGTCTTGATGGGTATTTTATTCTCCTGACCTAACTTCTCCATTGTAGGATTAGTAGTTTTTTATTTTTTCAAAAGGTTCTCTTAGGCATAAATTACACCTTATTTTTTGTGAGGCCACTGGCCAGGGAGCAACCAAACATTCATAGAAGAAGCTCTGATGTGGAGGGCACTTATCTGCATTCTGTTCTGCATTTCACTTTCTAGTGGGGGCGGCTTCAATCTTCATTATCTTTGGCATCTTACTTTGTGGAGGCTCCCACACGCTGCAACACTGCTCTATCCCATTATGAAGAACACGTATCTTCATGCTTGTCTGTTTTTCCTTTTTTTTTTCCTCGACTTCCTGGCAAAGTGGCAATGCCTTCTTGTCTGTTTCTGTGACTCTTTTATCTGTCTCTGTCCCTTGCTGTAGTCTCTGACTTTTATAAGAGCTGTTCATGCTTGCTTCTCTAGCTGTGGCATGATTCACTCTTTAGGACTGATCAATCATCATCAGTGTGATGTTTTTTTTTGTTTGTTTCCATGCCTATCAATTGCATGGCTTAATTGAGGTCCTTTTCTGAGATATACTCCTGGAATCCTTTGAACTCATTCTCACATAATATTTCTTAATTGGTGAGGAGTGACATAATTTCACAAAAATTATGAGGGTGTCTTGGCTTGAAACACGAAGTATGTGACTGGGTAAACTTAAATTTCCAATTGATTGTGCACATAATAGATCACTGGATGTCCTGACACAATCATATTCCCAATGCTTGAATTTTTCTTCCATCGTAAGAAAATGCTTATTGTTTTTCCCTCTTCATTGGTTTAACTTCTCCATTTCCCATTTTCCCTTTTAACTTTTTAATGCCCCAAGGGGTCATCATGCCCCTTCTTTCTTTTTATTGCGGTTATAATATTTTGGCTCTGTTATTTAGTCCGTTGTACATTTTTCTTTTCTTCTGTTCCCCAAATGGTGCCATTGTTAAGGTTCACTTTAAGATCGTCTAGCCATAGATCTAGTCGGGTTGTGCTCTTTGGGTGTTCAAACAAATAGAGAGATAGAGAGAGGGTTTAGGGACCGACCGGTGGATGTCGAGGAGGAGGAAGTGCCGGCCATCGTCATTGTCATCGTGCACTTGTCGTGGACAGCGGCGACGGTGATCGTGACGGCGTCGATGGTCTTGGCGGCGATGGCCGTCGGCGGTGACGACGTGGCGTGGTGCGGCGGTGATGCTTCCCGTCACTAGCTGCGCCCCCTCGATTGGTTAAGGTTTGTGAGTAGAGTGGCGGCGGCAGCGAACCTCGTATCGTGTGCCGCCCCGGCCTCCACCCCTGTTTATATGGTGCAGGGTGATGGGGGCCCACCAGCCATTGGGCTGGGCGCCCCCGATCAGGGCGCGGGTCAAGGCCCCCTTGAGCCGTTGGGCTCAAGGGCAAGGAGATCCATCTAACATTCTCCCCCTTGATCTCACTATTACTTTTAGCCTTTTTCTATTCCATCACAGATTTGCACATAGAGCATGTTTCATCGTCACGGTTAATTGCCGTTGGATTCAACAGCTACTATACACATCTCTATTTAGAAACAGATACTTTAACTTTTGGGCCATGTAGTCCAGGATTCATAAGGCTTCCCTTAAACCCATGCCAGCTACATGTTCCTTGAACACGTTGGGTGGTAGGCCTTTCGTGAGCGGATCCGCGAGCGTCCTTTCTGTTCTAATGTGCTCGAGACTGATTGTTTGATCTCGGACTGTCCTTCACAACATAGTACTTTATGTCAATGTGTTTGGCAGCACCACTTGACTGATTGTTGTGAGCGTACATTACTGCGGGTTCGTTATCGCAGTATAACTTTAGTGGTTTCTCAATACTGTCAACCACCTTTAAACCAGATATGAACTTCTTTAGCCAGTTCACCTGCCCCGTGGCCTCATAGCATGCTATAAACTCGGCATACATAGTAGACCCTGCAGTGATAGTCTGTTTGGAGCTTTTCCATGAAATAGCTCCTCCCGCAAGGGTGAACACGTATCCCGATGTTGACTTTGTATTGTCTTTTGCAAAATCAGAATCTGAATACCCCACTATCTGGAGTGACTCTAATCTTCTGTAAGACATCATGAGGCCTTTTGTACCTTTCCAAAAACACAAGACTTTCTTTACTAATTTCCAGTGCTTTGGACCTGGATTACTCTGAAATCTGCCAAGCAACTCGGTGACAAATGCCAAGTCAGGGCGTGTGCACACTTGCGCATACTGTAGGCTTCCCACAGCTGACGCATATGGCTTTGTTTTCATTTCATTGAGCTCATACTGATTTCTGGGACATTGTGATGCCCCATACTTTTCGCCCTTGACTATAGGAGCAGGTGTAGCACTGCATCTGTACATGTTGAATTTCATCAACACCTTTTCTATATATGCCTTTTGAGAAAGTCCCAATGCATACTTTGTTCTATCTCGATGAATCTCTATGCCCAAAACATATGAAGCCTCACCGATGTCTTTCATGTCAAAGTTTGATGACAAGAATTTCTTTGTTTCCTGCAGCAGACACTAGCCAGTAGAATGTCATCCACATACAGAATTAGGAAAATGAATCTCCCATTCTTGAACTTTGTATAAATACAGTTGTCCTCAATATTCTCTTGAAACCCAAATTTCTTTATTGTCCCATCAAACTTCAAGTACCATTGTCTTAAAGCTTGTTTTAATCCATAAATGGATCTCTTTAGACGGCATCCCATATTTTCGTTTTCTTTCATGACAAAACCTTTCGGCTATGCCATGTATACTTTTTCCTCCAAATCTCCATTTAGAAATGTCGTTTTCACATCCATCTGATGTAATTCCAAATCATAATGTGCCATCAATGCTATTATAATCCTGAAGGAATCTTTACAAGAGACTGGAGAAAATGTCTCATTGTAATCAATCCCTTCTCTTTGCGTGAAGCCTTTTGCCACAAGTCGCGCCTTAAATTTTTCTATATTCCCTCTGGAGTCATATTTGGTTTTGTAGACCCATTTACAGCCTACTGTTTTGGCTCCTTTAGGAATCTCTTCTAAATCCCAGACATCGTTTAGTTTCATTGATTTCATTTCATCTTTCATGGCTTCCAACCATTCAGATGAACGAGCGCTTCTCATGGCCTCTTTATATGAGGTGGGATCATCCTCCATATGTGACTCTTCTATATTATAAACTTGATAGTCATCACGGATAGCCGATCTTCTGACTCTTTCAGACCTTCTAGGGGCCTCCACATTTGGCACATTCTGTATGTGAGGCTCTTGTTGAGTCTCCTGTACTGGCACATTATCTGTTTGAGGCTGTTGCAGCTCCTCCTCTGGTGTGGCAATAATTTCTGTTGAATCCTGTAAAACAGGTTCCTCACTTTCATTCATTGTTGCCACAGGAGGGGTAACAACAGGTGCTGGTACCGCAACGTCATGCATTGCAGGCACAACATCAGCAGGTAGAGAGAAAAAAGACTCCTGAGTCAACGGAGCGGGTACAGACACCCGCCTCTCCTCAAGATCAATTTCTCGAACTACCGAGCTCCCCCTAATCATTTTGTCTTCCAAAAAGACGACGTGTCTCGTTTCTACAAACTTTGTATAACTGTTTGGACAGTAGAAACAATAACCCTTTGATCTTTCTGGATAGCCAATAAAATGGCAGCTTACTGTTTTGGGATCCAATTTCCTAAGGTCTGGGTTAAATATTTTAGCCTCCGCAGGACTCCCCCACACGCGGAGGTGAGCTAGCGAGGGTACTCTTCCTGTCCATAGCTCATACGGTGTTTTGGGCACCGATTTGCTTGGAACTCTGTTGAGGATATGAATGGCGGTTTTTAACGCCTCCATCCATAAACCCAATGATAGGGTGGAGTAGCTCATCATGCTGCGCACCATATCCATAAGGGTACGGTTACGCCTTTCAGCTACCCCATTCTATTGAGGTTCGCCCGGTGTTGAATACTGGGCTATTATGCCATTCTCTAGCAA